TGGTCAGGAGGGGGGGGGAGGCGAGGCAATTGTGCTGCTTAGCTGTCAAAATACAAAAAAAATTCCCAAACAACATTTTGATTGCAGAATGCTGTAATTTACCAATCAGCACAAAGATTCCAGAGAGACAAGATATAAAAATATGAGCAGAAGAGTAGTAAACAGACGCAGTGATACAGAAGTGGGAATGTGTGTGACATGAGAGACCTTTCTGGAATCTACAGCACAAAATCACAATAAATAAAAACTCTATATTCTACTGAAGCCAGTTAAAAGCATCTCTGTGCAACTGTTCATTTCCATACACACTGTACATCTGTAACTCAGGCAGAGCCCTGTGGGAAGTTTCACGTTCAGAACTCGCTTTGATCTGGACTGCTGCAGGAGTGACAAGCTTCAGTTTGTGGCAGCACTTTTAAAAGTGGGTTTTAAGATCTGAAATGCATTTCTCCACTGCTCTGAAAAAAAGAATACTGTACTTCACGCTTCAGCATATAGTTAAGAACTGCTATGGAAGAGGGTATGAGGTTAAGCTAATGGAATTACAGGTCCAAGGAAAGCAGGTAGAGGGCCTGAGAAAGATGCACTTTCCATGCTAATTAACATCTCCTAATTATGGTCGGGCAAGGCTATTGGGCGGAATCTGCCCGTAGAGAGCCATCCCATGCCCCAATTAATGCCATTGCACTCTGCACAGCCGGGCCTGTTTACAAACTGATTTTAAAGAGATGCAGCACTGCTGTGGAGAAAGCTTGATTGCTTCTCGTTATAAATGGCAGATGTGCACCCCACTGTGATGTTTTCTAACCCTCCCTTCCATTCACTTCTATTTGTACATTTACAGGAAAGGGACAGGAACACAAACTAACAGTAAGTTAACCTCTAATACAGTGGTTCTTAACTGGTGAGTTTAAAATAAAATAAAATAACATACAAAATAAAGAGAATTAAATAAAACAAAAACTTTGATGTTCAATGCAATGGAAAGTAAAAAAAATTAAATATTCATAATGAAAAAATAAAAATATTAAAAAATTAATTAAATACTCAAAAATAAAATAAAAACAATAATTGAAAAAAAAAAACTTTTGGATCTGATGGCCAAAAACAAAGTAAAAATAAATAAAATAATAGCAATAAAATATAATAACAATAATAATAAATCAAATACTTTTGGATCTGATGTTCAATGCAAAGGAAAATAAGTAAAATAAAATAAATACAAAATAAAATAATTGTTTTATTTGAAGTTCAATGCAAAGGAATGTAAAATAAAATAAAATAATATTTGAACAAAAAAAATAAATAAAAGGCTTTTGGATGAGATGTTCAATGAAAAATGAAAACAATAAATAAAACAAAATAAAATAACATGAGAACCACTGTTCTCACAAAAAATAAATAAAATAATAATATATATATATATATATATATATATATATATATATATATATATATATATATATATATATATAATTTTTATCTGATGCTCAATGGAAAGGAAAGTAATTGTAAAAAAAAAAATAAAAGAAAAAGAAAATAAGAGACCTTTGGATTTGATGTTAAAAAAAATTAAATCAGATGAGACCCACTGTTCTAAAGAGACAGAAAGCAATTAAAATGACAAAAATGTCCACTTCCTGTTGGAAAAATAATTAGGTAAACCTTATCAAACTCAAAAAGGATCATCTTTATTTACACATGCACAAACGGTCCATCAAACTGTCCTTTTTTTTCTGAACGCTTTGTTGAGCACCGTACAAAAGCACGGCCGACGAAGGGCCTGGCAGCGATTTAGCCCCCACGGTGACAGATCACTCCGGCCTGCCAACTGGGCCATCTGGAAGTGCATGCCCTGTGGGTGTGAACCACTGAACTCCCACTGCTGTGGAAGGGGCATTTGTAGTCTTCCTGGCACCGCTGCCAAGATCCCTCAGTCTCTCTTTCCTCTCAGTCAGCATTGCCAAAAGACATGACGGCAGCAGAGAAGTGTCAGAGGAAGTCTCAAAGGTAAGGGGGATGGTGTGTGGTGTGAATGACCCAACTGACAACTGACATCATCTCAGAATGTGATAATTCAGCCCAAAAAGGCTGCAAAACATCATCTAGGTAGAGGGGGAAACATTACCAGGAGACAAGAAAAATACCGGTGATACACTGATACAGTGAACCATTGACAAAAATATCCAAATGACCCATTGTGACAACTTAATGTTGCAATCAGGGGTGTCATACAACTATTTTTCTTTTTCCTCTCTCTCTGAGGAAGCACCAAGTCTAGCCTGGCTCATGTTGTGCCCTAGTTGAGATCAGACATGACTAAAGAGGAAGAAAAATGTGTAAACAACACGTAAATGATGACAGAAGCAAATGGAAATGATCTGTGTGGCCCAGTTAGACTGGACAAATTTGGATAAATATGTGATTACTGCCACGCCATATAAGACTAATATTTTTGTACCTACAATAATAACTATAATGTGTTTTTGTACTACTTTAATATTTATTAACAATATTAATATTAATAGCCAATATATTCTGGTTTCTAAAATGACATTTACATTGAAAAATGTAATAATCAAATAAAGAGGAGGTGCAACCAAAACTCATACCATTAAAAATATATACATATATATTTTTTTATTTTGTTGCATTATTTATTATTATCATGACATTATTTTTTGACTATTGGCTTGCACTAACCTAAACTAACATGATACTTATTTAACTTATTGATAATTTATTAAAATCATTAAATGTATTCATTTATAACAGTGTTGTATTGTTATATATATATACACACACACACACATACATATATATATATATATATATATATTAGAGTTTTTAAATAATATATTTTATATTATTATTATTATTTATTATTTCATACCAAATTTATTTGGCTCAAGTTTGAATGAGCTTGACTTGTGGCTGGAATTTGTTTTCCTTGCTTTTACTATATGCATTGTCGCCATGAATGTAACAATCCAAACCTGGCATTAACCCAATGTTTTGTTTGGGGTCTGAGAGATCCAAAGGCTCCTTTAAAAGCTCGAAACACATATTTAATATTTAAGCATCAGGTTAATACTTAATGACTGCTTCGAAGATTATAAGGACTGACAATAAACTAAATTTAACTTGGCATGCTTTAAACGTCTGCCATGAGATCTTACATCTGCTTTTTCAATAATCCAGTATACAGAATTATATTTAACTTTCAAGATTATAATTATATATATTTTTTAACACAAACAGCCATAGGGTCTGTGGGACCCCAAGACAGCCAATCCTGAAAAAGGAATCTAACAAGCAACCTTCCATATTTGACACACCACCACCACCACCACATGTAAATGAATGGGGAAGACAGGGAATAAAAAGTATACTGACTGGAACACAGGAATATTTGTTAATTCCCAATATGCAATTTTAGCACCATCACACAGCCTCACAAAAGTCATAATTGCCTTAACACCACATGCAACTAATAATCAGCATACACAAACAATAAAATCATCTAGTTGTTGTTGGTGTGAAAATGCAACGATCACAACAATTTTTCCTAATGCAGCTAAAAGGATTGCTGTAAATCATTCAGGTATGAATGAGTTCATATGGAGTAGATGGTCACGCACCCTCCAAAACTTTGAAAGCATGGAGCGAACTCCTCAAAGAGTCAACAATCCCGGCCCCTCTGGGATGTTCTCAGGGACAACTCACAAGGAGACTGACAGAGCAGTCAACAGAGAGATTGCTCCCCGAGCACAAGGGCATCCAGCTCTCCTTCACCATTAACTCTTAGACACCATTAGTCAGAAAAAGCTTCTTCATGGCTGCACTTTCTTGCTGTCCTGCTCCATTAATGCCACTGGAAATGGAAACGTGTAGCATTTTATGCAGCTTACCAGCAAATACTTGTGTAAAGTAGTCATTGCTACAAGCAAATATTGTTTTGTTAAATTTGATTTCTCTCTAGTACTAGAAAATGAATAAGATCGATTTCATTTAGAACTACAAGGTTATCATGTCTTACTCTTCTACAAAAATTTGCCTATTTTTTTATTCTGTCTTACTGAGCTAATAACAAGCCAATCAAATTTGTGCTCCCATAAATGTGTCTAAAACAAACATTAAAATCATTTTAATCATCAATCATCAAAGTCATTTGATGCAGTTAACAAGACACAAATCATCAGAATATAAAGAAAAACATCTCGAAGCATCTCACCAAGAGAACTGCGGATGTCCCGTTTGGCCGGAAAAGCTCAATTGACATATCTGGAAACATTCGTCCAATTCTGGATATGACATCATCAACATACCTGGAACAAGAAAAATATATATATATTTGAAGTATTTTTGTTTTTCACTTCAAGTGCAAGTCAAAATGTCCTCGGGTCACAGTCACTGTCAACACCAAATCAATGGCTTTTTGCATTAAGGGCTTGGTATTGAACAAACTAATTGTTTCTTCTGATACAACACACATATAATTTATATAAATTATATATATATATAATTTAAGAACACTGATGTAGGCACAAATCACACCTCCTTATTTTCAGTACAGCTGTAAATAATCAAAATGCCAAAAATGTGAAATAAACATCAGAGGCAACAACAAATACTGTATAAGCTCTACACTGAATGCATTAAGGAATCGATTTGCATCCACCATCAACAAGAGGCTCCACTGTTCCACATCTGACATAACCTTCAGTGCTTCAGAAGAAAACGAATACTTAAAACCCTGCCAGCGTTGCTCAACAGCCTCGTTAGACATCAATAAATTGGACTGAGAGTGCCAAAAGCCTTCAGCCATCCCTGGAGTGAGCAGAACAGTACCCAAGAAGAGTCGCCCATCATGTATTGTGGGGTCAATGCTAATAAGGGTTTAATGAAAATCTCCGTTGCCATCAGCTATCAATAGACTTGAGGGACTGGCCCTGCACACAGACGAGGAAAATAATTCATTAAAGAACCGATGGTGGGCAGCTGGTGGAGGGATTTGCTTAAAAGTCATTTGAAAGTTATTGGACCAACTATGGAGATAATATTTCTTAACACTGGTTGTGGAGAACCCAGGTAACCCACGGACAGGTGCAAATGGGGACACGCATGTGCTTGCGTGTACACACATCTGAAAGTGCAATGCAGCTGGAGGAATCGACAAAGATTAAGTTGCCTCATCACGTTGAAAGTTCTCCCTGATTTTCCTGCAACAGCATTTTCTTTCCCAGAAGGGGAGATCAAAAGCAAAGAGAAATTGTTCAACATACCTCTCCGTTTGTTCACAATTTCCCGCGTGCCTGCACTAAGGTTGCTCATTTACTAGCTTAAATTAAATAACAGCATATTAAATAGGCGAGAACATCACTAGAGTTTTTCACCGACTCGACATATGCTTAGTAAAATCTTTATACTGTATAAGGAGTTTGGGAATCATTAGACCAAGAATAAACTAGATTTTAACTTTTCGGGAGAAAACGTGAGCAGTGCTTGTGCATGCAAAACTTGCCGGTACAGTGATACGGCATTTCTATGCAGTTGCTAGGGTGTTCTGGATGGTTGCTAGGTGGTTTCCGTCTGTAAAATATTCTGGTTTCTAGATATGGCTGGGGTCTTTCAATGTAACTTTTTTTGGATCATTTTTTAATCCACCAGGTGAAAATAAGAGGTGTGATCGCTTTTAAACCCATTAACACACCTCACAACAATTCCAATGACTTGAGGTATCATCCTTGTCTGACGCACATGCTGTGGGAAAAGTTATGCATTGAACTTAATACTTAAGGGGTTCAAATCCCTAACCTTAAATGGACATTTCACCCAAAAATTAAACTTCAGTCATCATTTACTCTCCCTCATGTTGTTCCCTTGCCTTACTTTATCTTCGAAACACAAATTAAGATATTTATAATGAAACCTAGGAGGTTTATGTTGCTCCACTGAAAGTCCAGGTAACCAAAACTTGAAAGATCCAAAACAGTTATAAAGGCATCGTAAAATAAAGTGGTTTAATCCATGCCTTGTGAAAAAATACAATTAATTTGTATGATGAATAGAAGTCATTTGGGTTTTAATTTACATCTAAAATGCTCAACACGTCATGCTTAGAACATACCTTCTGTGTTTAATGTATGTGAATAAAAGCCCAAATTAAATCTGTTCATCATATAAATTGATCAAATCTCTTCACAAGGTTTGGATTAAACCACTTTTTTCATATGGATTTATTATTTTCTAAGTTTTGGTTACCTTAACTTTCAATGGAGGTGCAGAAAACACAGGTTACATTAAAAACATCTTAAAATGTGTATCGAAGATTAACTAAAGTCTTATTGGTTTGGAACGACATGAGGAATAATTTCATTTGTGGGTGGCCACAATCAATTTAAGGGTATTTAAGGTATAGTTTATATATAATGTACTAAAAATGGAAAACTTTATCCTTTCCATTTTTCACATACAGACAACAATGTTGTAAAAACGATACCCATTCATATAAATCTGTGAATACGACTTAAAACAGTGTCTCCAGGCCAGGCTAGTAGATGGTGATGTCACTTTGTAAAGAAACGCTATGGAAACACTTCATACTAATGCGCATATCGTCATCGTTTTCACAAATTTTCTAGTTTACACAGAGACGATAATGGTGTCGTTTTCAAAAATGTGCACTTTGAAACCAGTCTTTTTGCATTTTCTGGACCCAAACTGCTGTTGTGGTGTAAAAGAACATCCAATACATAAAAAAATATATAAAACTGCATAAAAAGTATTAAGTTTTTAGTTCATTGTTCATAAACAGTGTTATGAACAATAGTAGAAGTGACTAAAAAGTACTTGCACAATTATTACTTGAGCATGTAGCTGAAGACAACTGACATGCAAACAACACAAAACTCATTAAAACAAGCTTTAAACAAAATTATTTAAATTCGCTTGTCAAACAGGATGTCAAAGAAAGTATGCGATATTGCATGCTAACTTCACATGAACCAAAACCTGCTCCTCCAGCCAATCACAGACACCGCAGCCAAGCAATTATTTTATTCCTGGCATAGGTGGTTCATTGGCAATAGAATGTCTGGGATGTAACCAAATAGGGTTAGCAATTACATCTCCATTGGCACCACAGAGGGGTGTCGGCATGTTACAAGACGAGACATGTTTTAATATATCCATGCTTCATAACTCATAATCTCTGGAGTGAAACCCACCTAATCTCCATGCAAACTAACTCATCATTGCTGGACTCACAGAAAAGGTTTTTCTTCTTCTGTGGCTCTGATTGTTTTCTCAAGCCAAGCAGAGCATGAGTCTCATAATGGATTTTAGGCACAGCGAGGCTTAGATTAACATATCGAACATTACTTGCACATCAACAACTGTACACTCATTGAATCACTGTGTCTTCGCTCTGTAAAGTCAATACCTGCCTGCATAGATTTTGTGGTCCAGGATATGGTCAAGAATGTGTAAAATCAGTCAAAAGCACTGCAGGATCCAAAATTACATCTCCCTATGGTGAAAAATGACTAAATATATTAGTCAGAAATATTTATTACCAGCCAGAAAATTTTATTTAAATTTCTTTTTATAAAAAAAATATATACATATTTTTGTATGATAACAGAATAATTAAGCCATTTTCTTTGCAAAACTGCCATATTTGTGACAAACAGCACAGTCTCTGTAACAGTGAAACAACTGTCAAAAAACAAACATCAAAACGTATTGTGATTTTTGTTCCACATATTTCATTTTGGTGGCTTAATGTGACAAATATTTCACATAAGAGACCACACAGAAAACAAATCATGTGGTATTCTAGATCAAATTCTAACAGTAAAATATCGACCTAAAAATTAAACCTAAACTATGCAATGTTGCAGTTCCTCATAGTTCCTGCCAAACTGGCAATTTATTTACTCACCAAAGCCAATATTTACTCCCATTTGGTGCTTGGCTGCCTTGAAACCACAGTGTTTAAAGGTCCTTGTTAAAGTCCCTCCCTCTAGCCCTGCCCCAGGCCACCTCTCTGAACAGGTTTTTAATTGTCTACTACCCATCTGCCCTGTTATACCACTGCACTGTACAGGATGAGACCAAGAAAGGTCAAGAAATCCAATGGAAGAGGATGTGGCTGTATCCTCTGACCTTGAGTGTGCGGTAACACTGTCAATCAGCAAGGCACCATGGGCCATTTTGCCAGTGATGGCTTCATTTCAGATTAAAATATTCAGTAGAATCTCACCATTCAGAGGACAATTTACTTACTTGACCAGGTGTAATGTCTCAGCCGCTGTTGAGGAAGCTACTAGCAACTCAATTAAAAGTATTTAAATGACAGTCAAGCCAGCCTTCAGGAAAAATAGTGATCTGCTATCTTTGCTCATCTTGGACCACAGAACTTTATTAACCAATCACCTGAACTGTAAATGTCATGCATCTAAAATCTCTGTCGAGTCACAGGAAAATGATATTATTACAACACTGATGAAAGAAAAAGCACTTTAAGATCACTCAAATGAATAATTCTAATAATAATTTAAAAAATCTGTATTTTCTATCACTAAATAAATAAATAAATAAATATATTTAAATACATTAAAATAAATTACTAAATCAATAAATGCAAATAAATCAGTCACTGGCAAAACATATATTCTGTGGTGGCGGACAAATTTCAGAATTTTTAATTTTTTTTAAATGCCCATGCATAAATGATGACAGAATTTGGTGGTGAACTATCCCTTTAATGTTCCCAATTTTACACTGAAATAACATTTACTGTACAAAAATCCTCTAGTGTTGGGCTTTTTTTGATCTGAAAATACTAGCGAGAGCTGTTTGAGGGTATGAATGATTACACCATGAGATTCTGTAGGAAGACGCAAACATTGGTTTTCTTTTTTCTACCAACCTTATAATCTAAATGCAAAGTTAATGAATGCTCCATGGACATGTAGGTTCTGCAGCACAGTTTAAGGATCTAGTGTAGTGTGATTTGAATGTTAACGCAACAGATTATCATCCAGATGATGAAACATTTTCAGTGGATTACATGCCAACTGCATAAAAACTGATGCGGCCACAAGAAAGGGCATCTTTAGACACCCCTGAGGATGGCAGGAAGTCAGTGTCAGGGGAGCACAAAAAAGGAGATGCGTGTACTTTGTTCATCTTGATGTAATGGGGTAACATTGCTCTCTCTCAGTGTGATGGATGATACAAAGTGATCAAATAGCCCTTTCTTGTGACTGCATGTGAGGGTGAGATGAATACTGATAAACGAGTGCTGTCTTCCTCTTTCCTT